ACAAACTTCCTTCCATATTCTGCTTAGTTTGTTCTACAAGAAAGGAAAAAACAGCATTGAAGTTACTGCAACAACTGCAGCATAGTGCTGTTTATGAAGGCTACTGCTAGCAGCAGCAAACTCTTTGAATTCTTTGTCATGTCTTGTCCTCAAATGTTGAATCAAATTGCTGCTGTTAAAACATCCAACTTTCGCTCCTCCCCTTGACAGTTTAGCAGAGCACAGCAGACAGTCTGCTGGTTTGTGTCCTCCGTGTTGTTCTTAAAATATCTCCAAACTGCCGATATGTTACTTCTTCTCCTCATCGTTCTTCTTCTGTTATTCGGGGGTCCAGTCGGAAATAACTTGTCAGTGCGTTAGCGCCACCACCTGGTATGGATTGTTGTTTACCCTTTGTGCTGCAGCACAGCACAGGAGGAACAAAAAAGGGGACAAAAGCGGTATCGGTTGAGAGTATCGGCCGGCTTTTATGAGTACGAGTACTTGATGCTGGTATCGGACCCGATACCGATAAAAATTAGGGGTGTCCCGATACCGATACTGGTATCGGTATCGGGACACCTCTAATTTAAATTTTTTTACAACACTTTCACCATCTGGGTGCTGATTTCAACTTGAGCCTGCTACCTTTAGCTTATTTATATGCTAGTTTTAGATTTTTGTGCTATTTCAGCTCTAATTCTGGTTCTTTCTGCTTTTCTTACACTAATTTCTATTTTTTGTGCTTCTTCCTGCTAATTTAAGCCATTACTGCTTCGTACAGTTGCTTTCTGCTTTATGCAGCTATTTGCTGCAAATCTAGTTAATATTTAGCTGTTATTAGCTAAAGTTAGCCTTTTTTAGGCAAAATTCACATTTCGGTGCCTATTTTAGCTTCTTTCTGCTTCGTTTAGCTACCTTGTGCTGCTTTTGCTAATTTAAGAATTTCAAGCTACATTTTAGCTGTTGTACTGCACATTTTGGCTGTTTGAGCTCTTTTACAAGAAACTGTCACTTTTTTGCTTTCTTTCTGCTAATTCTACATTTTTAAACCCCTTTCACCATCTGGATGCTAATTCTAACCTGTGTCTGCTACCTTTAGCTTGTTTTAAATTATAATTTTAGCCTTTTTTCTGCTTTATTCCACCCCTTTCTTCTATTCTTCTGCTAGTTTCTGCTTTTTTGTGCTTCTTTCAACCTTTCAAATGGAACTGGTAT